TATATATATATATACGTCTCCTGGAACCCCGGCGGGCCTCTGCAGATGGACACTGAGCCTGGCCCTGCTGGAGGTTCTTGCTGTTGAAAGAAGTTTTCCTCTCCACTGTCGCTAAACAAATGCTCAGAGTGAGGGATTGCATTCAAGTCAATCAGTCGATGCAATCAGCTGGTTTTCCTTAGATAGAGATATTTTGAAGAATATGATTGTGTTACCTATTCTAATAAATTGATCTATCTATTTGCAGCTTATCTCTGTGTGAGTCTCTCCAGGTTGAATTGCCTTTCAACAAGAAGAAGAACACATAAACAGAAACTACTAAACGATATGCTGCTTGTGCAAAGATATAAAGTTCAATCAATGGGTTTGTTTTCATCTCCTTCCTCAGTTAAACACAGTTGTTAAACCTGGTTTATCACAGATGAAACATCTGAAATTTCATGTATGTCACACTCTAACACTCAGTAAGAAATCACTCAAAAAGAAATCACTCAAAAAGAAAGCAAGATGCACCTGATCATGGGAGGTTTATGGTCGAATGATGTGCTAATGGACCCGACAGGGTTCACATCCTTCTGTAATCAATGCCCTCACAAGGTTTTTGAAGATGTTGTTGTTTGTGAAGATGTTGAGGGAAATCTTTGCTTTTACCCTATTTGAGATGCTCATGTGTGACACATTTGACAAATCTTTTTAGAGGCCATTAGTTTCAACTGAACAAGCTGATATTTTTTCACCTTCAAGGTACAGGATGGCTTTCTGATCAATGATAGATTTCAGCCCGGTGTCTTGGCTTTTCCTCTTTTTCATCTCTCTCACTGTATGCGTTCCCTATTTCTCTCCTGTGCCCATCTGAGCTTGTCTTTTTAGGTTTATTTTTATCTATGGATCACTTGGGTTTCTAACAACACCTGGTGAAAGTTTCATGATTAGTAATACCTTAAAAAAAACTTTTATGTTCAGTTCAATTCAGTTTATTCATTTAGCTCCAACACATGTCGTCTCAAGGCACTTCACATAAACATTTAAACCAGATCATGCTGTCAGATTGGTTCAAAGTTTGCTATCTAAAGAAGTCCAGATTATTTACTCATCCACTCAACAGCAATCCCTCACAATAAGCATGCTTCCAGCAACAGTGGAGAGGAAAAACTCCCTTTTAACAGACAGAAACCTCCAGCAGAACCAGGCTCAATGTGAGCGGCCATCTGCCGAGGCCGACTGGGGTTTGAGGAGACAGAAGCAGAGATACAGAAAGACAATAACATACAAAAGGTGCTATACCCT